AAAGTGCGAACGAGAGGACATTCTGGTTAAAAAAATATCAACATGAAATCGAACCAGAGCAAACTACAAGCAATCCTTCAACCGATTGATATACCTTCAAATTCATTACGACGAAAAATAAAATTATAATTTGTTTTTCTTAGTTCAGCAATTTCGTTCTTCACAAAATTTTTTTCGTTCTAAATGTGTCAGTTTTCCTCTCACGCACCGCGCAGGTTCTCCGCTGTACTCCTGCTGGCCGTGGCCGGTCTGACGAACGCTTACCTCGACCAGGGAGTTTGTCCAGACTTCCAGAACATCGCTGCTTTCGAAATTCCCCCGGTAAGTATTTATATGGCGACCAGCTAAAAATTCATTTTGCGAATTCTAGATTCTATTCATAAAGCCGTCATACCTCCAAAATATATCCATCTGTGGCTTAAGATATCACAAATTCTTCAAGGTGAAATTTCGCGAGCATTTACTGGAAGGAAATTCGCGTTATTTAAAAAAATGATTACTACGCATTTCACAGGTGTGCTCTAATCAGATGATCCGAGTTTACTAACAAGGAATTTAAAAGCAAAGAAAACGCCAAGAAAATTCGCCATATCGATATTGAAAACGTTTCGGAGTCCAGCTCCATCATCAGTTCGACTAAACTAAAAATGAATAAAATCACTTTAAAAGTCAAAATTCAAAGACGGACATAAAACCTAAACAAGACCTGACATTATATCGAAATAAACAGGACTAGTTATGAACAACTTAGTCCTAGGGGTACGACAAGAATATAAAATCCTAGCGATTATTTCCAGATTATAACGTGAACGTTTTCTTAACGTGAAATTTCAGTACCTGGGTCGTTGGTTCGAAGCTCACAGATACCCAGCTGGTTTTGAAGAAGGCAACACCTGCGTCACGGCCGACTACGGCGCCATCGGTATGTTAAAATTATATAATATTATATTTAGTCTGAAATTTGCAAGATTACTGCTGAACACTTACATTCAATAACAGTTTTAGTATTCGATTTCTAAAAGGCACTGATTCACTAATTTTTTTATTTATTATTATCTATTATTATGTATTATTTTTATTATATATTTATTGTTATATATTATTTATTTAATATTATATATTATTTATTACAACGATGAAATTCGATGCGTATTATAACGTTACTAAGTCAGCAAAGGAAGATTTGAGTCAATATTTAGATTTTCAAAAATTCTTTAAAGTCTGTCATAACAACGCTGGTCATAAATGGTCATTTGAGATCACTCGCAGTTTCCTACTTACTCTAAATAGTTCATCAACACATAATGTTAAAGGCTATGAACAAATTTGTTCTGCAGTTAATGAAAAACTTATTTTGGTCATATAATCATTTAATTGAAAGTTGAGAAAATATATCTAAAAAAGTACGCAACGAATCAGCTCATGCAATTAATATGCAATTTATATTAATATGCTCTTAATAGTAATATAAATAATGAAATATTATTGATACCAATAATATAATAATATTAATAATAATATAATAATTAATAATATCTCGATTTATTTCGATTAATTCGGCGCCATTTGTTCACCAAAAACTTTAAAGCATGTGCATGGGTCATGCCCCCAATCATCGATCATTCTGAATTATCTGTTGATAAGTTATCAAATCTGCTTATGATTCATCGATTTCGGTCACGAAATCAGCAACTATAAAAAATTAAAATTTGGAAAATAAAATTCCCAGATGACACGACGATCTCGGTCACGAACACCGCCAACCTCCCCGACGGGACGCTGGACACAATCGTGGGCACGGGCACCGCCACGGGCGTCCCAGGCCAGCTTGTGGTCCAGTTCCCTGGTGAACCTGTGGGTTTCTACAACGTCCTGGCCACCGACTACACGACCTACAGCAGCGTCTACAGCTGTTCACAGGCAAGTATAGCGTCAGCACCTGCGCAAATGTCAGTTTAGCGTCAGCAGCTGCGTATTCTCCTGCGCACTGGTCAGTAAGCTGTCAGCAGCTGCGTATACTCTTGCGCGCAGGTCAGTTTAGCGTCAGCAGCTGCGTATTCTCTTGCGCACAGGTCAGGGTAGCAGCCGTGAAATAATTCAGTATGGTATCTGTAGATGTTGAAAGAATGGCACTTAGGGTATTCACATGTCAAATGGATTACTAGAGCTTGATACAAGAACCAACACCAGAGGCCACGGCTATAAACTAAAAAAAACTGCGTTGCAACTCATCCACACGACAACATTTCTTCTCGCTTCGAATCACCGACATGTGGAACAACCTCTCTGATGACATCGTTGACGCTCCGATGATTAACGCGTTCAAGAACAGAATAGAAAAAGCTAGGAGAAATATATGTTCGAACTTGAAATGCCTAGAATCATGTCGAACCTGGTGGAAGTCTAGTATAGCAATTTCGAGCTATCGTCAGTTTTGAAAAGATCCGATCAAAGGACCTGTTTTTATATCTTCTGTGAACAAGTCACGAAAAGGACAAAAATTGGCGACAGGCTACACCAAGCCCATTCTTCAGCACCCGAAAGCAATATGATTTGATAAATGTCAGTCTTTGACACGTCTAATCAAAACACTAAGCAACAAAAAATAATAAGGGAATTATACTCTGGCATCAACGATCGCATATTACAAGACAATCACATCACAACGCAAATTCGGATATTCGATTTTTTCCTAAATTTTATAATTACTGAATTGGTTTCTAAAATTAGTTCCTCAAATTAGTTTCGCAAATTAGGTAGTTTCTAAAACTAGTTTCTAAAATTAGTTTCTAAAGTTAGTTTCTAGAGTTAGTTAATAAAATTAGTTTATAAAATTAGTTTCTAAAATTAGTTTCTAAAATTAGTTTTAAAAATTAGTTTCTAAAATTAGTTTCTAAAATTAGTTTCTAAAATTTGGAAGCTAAAATAGGCTCCGGTTTAATTTTGTTACCAGCGAAAAAAAGTCTTGTGAGAAAGGTCTGTAATTGATTCTACCAAGAAAGAAACACTTATCAAAACATTAACACCAAACGATTAAAAAAAGTACTGTCAAATTGTCAATTTACCTCAAAGCAGAGATATATATATAATTCCGCTTCTATTTGTGCGCTGCTTTGCATCATGATGACGCGGAACCGTCTTCAGTTCATTCATTCGAAACTGCAAGGCAACCACGGTTTTACATAGATGAAGGTTGAAGGTTAGGGATGATTATAGATACAGTGAACTTATCCTTATTAGAGTTCGTGAAGGTTTCTGGAACAAATATAAACATTAATTTATAATAATTAGGTCTGGCTCTATATGATCACATTATTTCAGATTAAGTAACTTTTGTTAACTATGCAAAAAAATAATAATCTTCGAATATAATGATAATATAATTATCCTCTGATTTAATTCGAAGCGAAGGAATTCAACCAAACTCTTACCGAATAATCAAATGAACTGAGGCGTGCGAGAACGTATCAAACTAAGATCTGTCTGAAATCATCAAAGGCGGTAACAGAATTGAATAATCGGATATTTCGAGAATTCTGCTTTTATACCGGATTGAACTGATATACTCGGAGGAAATGGTTCATTTTTTTATAGTAATGCTACAGTGAAACATCAAAATCCCGATGATAGTTCCTACATCCCTGAAATACATAATAACTCAATTTAGATTCACCAAGTTACCTATGGCTGATATGACGAATTTTCTTAATGAATTACATTGCTGGCAATAAGCTCTTCGCAGAGTTCCAAGAACAGCGTTATAAAATTTATAAAATGCATTGTAGCTTCATGTTTATCTATAAGGATGAGCTCCCTTGCTCTGGAAGTACTTAAAAAATTCGAATAAATTATTTCTTCAAAATAACCTTAACCATTGTGAGCTGCTAGAGGGATCGTCCAAGGTTTTAACTAGTGGTGATTAATCCAATTGTTAATATGCTGAACAGCAACTGGATGCAAGTCCTGCTAAATCAGACCTGAAATAAACGGGTATGGACAAACTGGGTTGCGCCCCGGCTGTAATTACTCCATTGATCCTAAATGTGACGACAGCAAGCTCGTTCCCTATTCTACTGCAGTCCATTTTCAAATGCAAAGATTATTATAGTAAAATTATTAAGTAAAAATGTCTAATATGATATTCGGTTGGTGTGGATGAAATCATATTTGCTATTCAACCAGTAAACATAGGGCGACAAGCAGCGCCAATATCTTGTATACTGAAATCATCTCGTCTCGTCTGTATGGGAAAATAGGCGGCATTGTCAGCTGCCACTGAGATGTTACACCGATAAATATAGGGTACATTCAAATTGTTGGCCGGCAATAAAGTCTGTAAAAAACGAATTGGACGGCCATAATGTCGGTAACTGGTTCGATGCTATCTTGATATTAGAATAAACTATCAGGAGGGTCTTCAATTATTTTGTCAAAAAGCGTCACGTGTCACAAAACTACCCTTCCCCTGACAGGTCGTGACCCTGAGACATAAATTCACGTGTCACAAAACTACGCTTCCCCTGACAGGTCGTGACCCTGAGACATAAAATACACGTGTCAAAAATTAGCTATCATCTGATGGACGGGGTCTGAAGACCGCAAGTGGATACCAGGACGAGATATGACCTAGCTACACCTGTCACACGTACAGCGCATGGTTTGTGCAAGTCATATTCTCAAGAGAGTCAGGTGTAGGGTAAGATTGAGTTATATGCGACAGTTTGCATCTTAAAATCGGTAATATCTTCTTGAGAATTTTCATTTCTGTTTATCCGTCTGTTTACATCTTAAGAATACAGAATCATTTTTACGCTAACTGATCGGATCGATTTATTTACCCAGTATGGAAGTATTTATATATACGCTACACAGCTGTCTTTTTATCTTAGAGTGTTATTATAACCTGAGGTTGGTGGGTAAAGAGGCCAGGGAATAGCTACATGTGGTAGACGAGAAAGAGAATAAAACGCCTGCGATGCCAAGTAACGAACTTTTCGTCTAGCATCACATGCATGGGTGAGTGGTGCTTCACGGGTGAGTGGTGCTGTGCGGATGAGACATACTTAACGCGTGAGTGATGCTGGACGGGTGAGTGATACTTTGCGCGTGAGTGATGTTGTATTGGTGAGTGGTGCTGTGCTGATGGGATATACTTTACGCGTGAGTGATGCTGTGTTGGTGAGTGGTGAAGCGGCGGATGGGATATAATTTACGCGTGAGTGATGCTGTATCATATGTATGATTGCGTGATACTTTACGCGTGAGTGATGCTGCGTTGGTGAGTGGTGCTGTGCGGGTGAGTGATGCTTTACCGGTGAGTGATGCTGTATGGTTGAGAGAAACCTGAACGGGTGACTGATAAATAATAAATTTCTTCAGATAGAAAAACTACCGACCTCAAAAATATCTGCAGGAATAACAAAAAATTCAAAATCCATAATTTTAAGAAAACATGTAATGAAACGACCATCGCTGTCTTGTATTGTTGATACTTCTTCGCATTTTCGACTTCTAAGCTCATGTCGACATATACTCAAGTGTTTATCTGAATTAAAACCGTAAATTATCATATTTAAATATAAGAAAAAAAGTTTGGGAATAGCTTAGTGATAAAAATTTTAACTCTGATTTGTTTGCTTTGATCACCGTGGTTTTAGCAAAATGTCACCCTGTCTTCTCGTACAGGTTCCCTGCTGTTAGACCAGATTCTCGTCTGTTCAAACTTCGTGAACAACGCTGAGTTTGAAATTCCTCCGGTGAGTCCTCGTATAGTTTAATATTACATTGACGTGTTCCTGTACATAAAGTGGAGTAGCAGAATATGCTTTCATTGATAATTCAACTATTATGATTTCGCCGTTGATAGAACTAGATGGCAAGCAACTATACTATAACTAGATGGCATAATGTTACAAATTAACCTGGGTAGTAATTACAAGCACTCAAATGCAAAGCTTTCATTAAATAGTATTGTACTCACTCAGGGAAAATATAAATTATGTTTTTTAACGAAAAAATTTTTCACAGTCATTTTCCGATTCATTTGAATTGCAGAATGTGATTGCAGACTTCGCTTACCATATTTGATAACGGACATATTCTGACGCGCTTTCTGAGATATTGCTCCAACAATATTTATAAATTATTAAACTTTATATCAAAGACAAGCTAGTTTAGCAAAAATAACCGATTATTCCGTACTAACCTGAATTCATATCACCATGAAATCTGTTGCCATGAAACATTATTATACGTAACTTTTTTACTTAAAATTTTTATATTTAATCGACCAATTGTATACATAATAATGTTCTAGCTTTTGTAAATTTAAGAAGTGAGTGCCCGAAAAATAGAGCTGTTAGAGAAATAAGATATGAATAACTGAACTACCCTAAATGTCGGACTTCTATTTTCATGTCCAACAATAAAAAAAATAACTATATGTACAATATTGTGCATAACTGGATTTGTTGAATGGTAATAATAGAGAATCAAAATTGCCTAGTGAAGTTAACGCTTTTACATACAATTAAAAATTAAATGCATTAAATGGGTGTCATTAAAAGGAAAATTACGTTTTTACAGGGATAATTTACTAAGCTAAATAAAAAGATACATGGAAAACATCTTACATCATCCCGATGAGAAAAGCTTAGAAGAGCTTTGACAAGCAATGACCTAAAATGTATAGTTCATAAATTAATCAACTGCCTTTCAAATAGTAGGAAATTTCCAGCGCAACGAGCAAAAATATGGCGAAAGATATTTCGTCTTCAATTCTATTTACAGTTATTTCGTATTGACGTTTGCTTTGATCGCAAACGAGTTAAATCTCAGGCCATATATATATAACATTCACGTTTGAAAGTTTATCGCGCAATCTCTTCCTGTTGTAAACCATTTTAAACCAACATTTTATTTGGCTGAATGCCGATTGTTATTCACATAAATAGACTTTGAAAAATTTTTCGATTGATGTTCTGCAGTCATAAGACTATCAATGAAGTCCTTTACATGCCAATAATACCATTAATTCGGAATACATGGACTGAAAATAACTCAATTTCAGTATGTGGGCTACGGGTTCGAAACTCTCCGCTACCCCGCTGGGTTGAGACTGGCGACACGTGCGTCATGGCAAACTAGAGGCCCATAGGTGAGTATTTCTTATAAGCTCCCAACAGGAGATCAACTGAAACCAATTATGCCAATCTTATCTTTTCCTCCTAGAATATTTGTAATAGACTAAATTATAGATAATCAGAGCTTTTCACTTGGTGGATTCTTTGAATGCGAGAAAAACTGTTGAACGGTAGTTTTTGTATGTGTGGAGCATGACCTATGATTATCAACGCCACACCAGTGGATCAACAGGCAAAAATTTGGTCCAAAGATCAAGTGTGTAATATTCCATAAGGTGACAAAAAATTTGAATTGTTCGAACGAACAAATATCCATTGAGAACGTTTCGATGATGTTTAATGATAGCATATTGTCAGCAAAGTCTCAATAATAGCATAAATTTCATCTCTCATTGCAATCTTTAATTATGATTCAGGAGTAGATAATATCGGACTCCATTTTCTAATGGGCATTATTGAAACAAGTTTGTAGGCACGCTGAATAAGATGAAGAAAATTGTGATTTTAACAAATCATTAAAACTAATATATTCTGATGTAAAATAAATCTGTCCAAAGTTATTTCTCAACAATATAACATCGTAACTGTTTCAACTATTCAAAGAAGTGAAATTCGATTATCCCTGAGTTTTACAAATTATAATATAAATTATATTATAAATTCAAATTAGGCAGTGAGAAAATCTATTATTCTGTTGGGATCAATTTTATTAAATCTATTGTAGTTTCTACACACATGATTTTCACATGAATTTAAATCCTATCAAAGGACTGTATGACAATCTGGTGATTACGATTGAAAAATATACAAAAATTCTTCTGGCAGAGCGTTAAACAAGTTACTTAACTGGTAACTTAGCATCATTATAGTTAGTAAGAAATATGAATAAAAGTCATTTTGTCTTGATGAAGTCATACCCAGTCAAATTTTGGAGTCAGCTTTCGGACACCTAACGGTTGCAAATCTCGCCTTAAAGGTGAATCAGGCTTGAATCGGTCACATGCATTAGTGTATTCGGCTGTTATTTAGGAGCATTTTGCGGGAATCGATTGCACAGTGGGCCGAATCTTCGTAATATAACCGAAAAAAGCAGCTGGTCAAGCTGATCCATGATAGCCTGGTCAGCCGCTGGTATTAGATCGATCCATGCACCATCTCCCGCTCATGGAATGACGTGCACGTGTACGTACGTTTCTTAACTCATACGATTGATAAAAATGAGAATTATTGACCTAAGCTATTCTTTGTGCTTACGTGGTATATAGATAGTAATTTCATTACGTATACGGCCAAAATTATTCTTCGACAAAAAGCTGACTTCATTTCTTTACTATCCTATATTTATAAACCAGAGACTGCGGAGGGCATGGAAAATGATTAAGCGGTGCAAGAGGAGAAACACTCATGATAAAGAGTACGTGACAGCAAAAAAATTAATTCATAAAGCTTTATGAGGTAATTTCACATCCTTATCCATAACATGGGTAACTAATATGCAAGCTGTCAATTGGCAGAACCAGCAACGCAACAGATGAACGTCCGGTTTTTGCCGTCAGGGCCTACAAGCTTTATGAAAGGTTTAGATCAAGATGATTTCGGCATAGCAACTTTTTGATATTGTGATACCAGTGCATTGCCTCCTAACAGGCACTGTACAATGCTCCTTCGGTTACACAAACAAGGTATACAAAATTTGAATATTGAGGCAACGTGACATTGTAGTGCGTGCGTATAATGTCTTTCTCAAGTAACTGTTTTTTTGTGTTTTTTTCCGTGGTAACATCAGGATTTTATCAGAGTGAAATCGAAGTGTTGTGAATTTGGTTATTTTCGAATAGTTAAACCTTATTAGAAGATAATTATCTGAAAATGCCATCGGACATGTCAATATTAGAATTAGAGAGGCAACAAATTCCAACTGCAATTTCGACTTTAGTAGAAGCTCTATTCTTCTTTACAGCCGCTGTAGGCACAATTTTATAGACCTATGCAAAATGGTTCGCTGGATGGAAATTACTAATAACGTTTCGTAATATGATAAGTCGTTATCAAATTATTTACTGGTTGTTATATCATCGTGTGTGCGGTAATGGAATGCAAGCAGGTCTCGCATTGGATTGCGATTCCGCCAAAAATTCGCGATGATGATATTGTCAGTCATTCCATTCCCGGAAATAGAGGAATTTCAAAGGACTAATAAACAATCATTTGTAATTCAAGCTGATTTTAATCGACTTGATTGAGAATTGATCATGCCAACAAGATCCCAATATCCAACTATACGCGAAATGAAATGTTGAAAATTTGAATATTTTCTGTTGTTCCACTAAATGTGAAAATGAGGGATTCTGTAAGTTAGAGATTTATAATGTTAACAATAACAATATGCAGAATAACTCGAAGCAGAAACAAAGCCGGAATATGAATAATTATCCAGTCATTATCTGAAAAAGATTTTAATGTCAGTTGAAAAATTTCAAACGGTTGGATTATCAAAATATCGGTAAGTACATGTAACTTCTTGTACTTACGCAAGAGAAGTTACATGATGCGTAAGTAGGAAAACTTTTCACGAAAAGTTTCGTACGCAACACTTGTCTAAAATTGTATTCACACAGTCACATGGACTTCATTTACGGAATTTTCTGTGTAATATATATGATGAGCCACTCGCAGTTTTTGTTTTAAAAATTTGAATCACAAAACACACTTATTACCGGAAAAGGAGTGATATATTTCACGACTGGAATAAAATTGAATTCGAACAAATTTCCGGAACTGGATATAAATTTATCACTCTATTCCGAATATCCCGATAATAAATTTTAAAATGAATTGACAGGTGTTAAAAACGTGATAACAAATTCAACTGTATGCTGTGATCAGTAGCAGTATCAATAGGTTGCGTAATAACACAGTCGACGACTTAATTGCAATTAAATCAAATACTAATACGCTGAAATGTGTAATAACTCTTCACACTCCAGAATTGACATACTGTTAACTGTCAACAATTTAAAGTTAACATACTTTGTTGAGATTGAAGATGGAGTCATTCAAGTGTCGGGGAACATGAAAGTACATATTTATGATATATATAATGTCTGTTAATGTGATACTTGTTCACTGTGAGATAAATGGATTCTATCTAAATGGTGATTTACACAATCTTTTAAAAACCATTTTCAAAACGTCCGACCGGGCTGAAAAATTGTGGAGAATCCTTGACGACCAATAAATCTAACCTTAGATTAACCTTCACTTTATTACATTAGAATCTGCTTTACAGACCAAAATAAGGATATTTTGAATGCTATAGGAATAAAATTAACAGTCAGAGAGCACTTAAGGATCAAGAATTGCAAATAACTTAAAAAAATCCACTAAAAAATTGAGAACTTACAATGAATCGAAAATATTTAAATTGGTAAATCAATTTAAAAAAACAACCCACGAAAACGAATCTCGAATTGGGACCGATTGAAATATCAATCAGTTTTTCCTTCTGTCATCTCGAAGTTTCATTTATATCGGAAGAACGTTGATGAAAGAGATCGGTGGTAATTATTATGTCAAATATGATGAATATCAATCGTCAATAATGTATTGATGTGTTTGATCAATCTAGAATCTGCTAAAATTTAAATGAATGGCGAATGAATGAACGTCTAAAAGACAGCCTTATTGATATGAAAATCAACGTTAAATTCCTTAATAATATTTTTACATTAGTTAAGCTTGTGCTCTGATACTTTAAGAAGATAAAAACCACTCAATTGTAATATGACGTTAAAATGAATATAATTAATACAATATATATATAAATTATTAAAAAGGTTAACATTCTTTTACATTAATATGTCATCTGAATAATGTTGGTGTAAATTGGACAAACAAGACAAAAAGAAGGTTTCACCTTTTCAATTCCTGCAATATTATACCCTATCGAAATTCGAAGACCTGTCAGCCGCTGGCACACGGACGCCCCAAGTTCTTATGGCAGTGTCCGCTTTATGCTCTATGTCCGCTTTAGGTTCCGGTTGCCGGAGCGAAATAAGCGCCAAAATAGAATCTTATGAAATTCCTGTCGAGCTCGGGGCGAGCGTGGGGCGCGCGTATTTGGTACCTGATACGTTCGGGACAGACACGGCCGAATCTGAAAAATGCGTTAAAAAAATGCCCCCTCCCTTCCCCCCTTTATGGGGGGAAGTGAGGGGGAATTTCAATCACTGTACGTTATATTTATGTGCAGTCTATATAGTACTACTCGCTTAGTTTCAGAGATCAGAGCACAGTCTATCAGAGGCTCAATTTCATGCAAAGACATTTACAGCTAGTAACTATTATGACATGACGTGGTTAGAAATGAGGACAATAATCGCAAATAAAAAAAATTCAATCGATACATCAAAAGCACTGATTCGAGGTTATGCAAGTAAAGCCAACTTCTATTAGATCCATATATCCTGCTGAATGAACAAAGTTTTGTTTAAAATAATCGTTGAATTATTTGCCGTTTTATGTCATGTAACTTTCGTCACATTAAATTTCTATCGAGCAAACGGTTCTGCTAGGGCCTCGAATTTCTGCGTCCATTGACGAAAGAAAGACCATACAATAGAATGGAGAAGCACATTTTAATCTTAACAAAATATAATTACGGCACTAACTTGATTGCAGCTTTCAGTTGTTCACACTTGATAGCAAATTAGGATCTTTCTGTATCCATCGTCGGCTGCTGCAATGACAGTATTGAGTTTCACATGTAGTTCTTCTCACGCATTAAAGTTATCAACTGCACTTTAAATTCCTGGAGAGAAAATCAAATAAATAGCAGAATATACGATAGTTATGGAAATTCTGAATTCAGATGTTTTGCTCACAGTGGGGCTCCTTGTTATCGATAGTTCATAAACTATCTTCTGCTTGAGCAATAAGCTCAAGCATGCAGACATACGCCCAAAGCTGAATAGTTCTTTTGTTGAAGAAACCATTTATCTAGCAAAAAAT